TAATTCAACGTTTTGCCTTCCCCATCAATGACGCCAAAAATACTTAACTTCGTTGTCGACCCTAATCTCCGACCATGATTCCGGTAATGTGTATGTGACTATTACGGTTCGGTTAGTGCCACTCTCCCTCGGATATCATGCAAGAAATGGGGTGATTGTGTGTGCGAATGAAAATGTGTGCATGTGTACAAAAGTGCTCCCCAAGCGTAGAGAAAATTTTGAGTGTCGTGTTTTACTTGGAATTGTATTCCGAGGTCATCTCCTCAAGGAAGGAAGGTGATTTGTGTGAAGATGATTTGGTAAAAATGAAATGTATAAAAATATTTTGAGCTTGAGTTTTGATGAGTGAAGATTGGTTGAAGAATTGCAACAAAAACAAGGTTGGCTAATCTGAAGAGATCATTCCAGTGGAAATGTCAAATCAACTTGAATCATTCAACCAATGGTGCCTAGGTGCTTGATTGATTCATAGGAAGTGAGGGACTAATGTGGAATGTAGGCTCAAGCATACCCCATGACAAGTCTACGGTGTATCAAGAGCTCACAACCACATCCGCGCTCAACCTAGTCAAATCAAGCACTTTACACTACGAGGTAGAATGGATAAGAGGTTATTTAGCATACCCAAGAGGAAGTTCCCCTTGGATTAGCCAACATAAAGCTTAGCTACTCATGGTTGAAGTAAAAACATTCATGATGTAAAGAGACATGTAGAAGAACTAGAAATGAAAATGAGTTGAGAATGAAACTTAGAACATCTATTCAAGCTAGAAAGAAGTAAACTACAAAGCGAAATTCATTTCATGGAAAAATGAAGAAGTTGCAGAGCATACCCAACTGAAAATGTAAAAGTGCAAGAACAATGGATTAGACTTGGTTACTCTTGAAATAAATGAGCTTACAATGCAAGAAAGACAGATTAAAAGAGTCTTACAGCTTGTTACAAGAGAAATGGGTAAAGAAATTGCAAAAATATAAGCTTTCTCTCTCTAAAATTGTCTTCTACCTTAGAAGTTTCTCTCTCTAAAAGTGTTGAACTTTGTATATGAATGGCTGAGTGTGGTGTATTTTCGTCCGTGGAGCTCTATGGTTTGTATGCTACAGAGTTTCAATGATTTTGGGGAGGTTTGGAAGCCTGCACAAGCAAGGTGCAGACATTCCTACACCCCCTGCAACTTTGTCAGCCTCCCTCATTCTCTCTCCTCTTCTTCCATGCTTCTTCTTCCAAGTCAGGTCTTTGTGTAAGAAATGGCATGGTGGTATGTGGAACATGTCAAGGTAGGTATGGGAGAAGTGTAGATGGGCCCCCCAAGCAGTTGGAGTTTGAGTTGCAAAGTTCAGGCATTTTTCAACAAAACCTACTTGTAGGTCGATGGCCAAACTTACCGGTAGGTTTTACTCCAGCAACCAAAACCTTCTGGAAGGTTTCTGGTAGAACTAACTTCAATAGACAAAACCTACTAGTAGTTTTATGGGCAAATCTACCAATAGGTTTTTACTTATTTTACTCAAAACTTGGTCTTTTCACCTTCCAAGCCATCGTCAAGCCTCCCCCTTCATCTTTATTGACTTTAAGCACTACAATGGGGGCTTAACTCACGCCATTTCCAACCTTTTCATGCAAACACATCGAAACCTCATTAATTGTAGAAATATTGTAATTCCTCCCATTTCACCTCAAAAACAAGTATAAAAAGGGGTATAAATGTGTATATGATGTGCAATATTTTGTGCTAATCACCGGATCAATTATCTTGCAATGCACCACATACTTCCCCAAATTCTTTCATATGCAAATAAAGGTTTTAGACTCAAGACCATGAAACTGCATTAAAAGTTGTATTGTCCCCACTTTAATGTTAAAATTTGGAGCATTTGTGGGAAAAACAAAACATGAAGGCACGCTGATGCTTGTGGGATGTAGATATTCTCTTAAAGGTATTACATTCTGAACTACTTCTTGTTCATTTTGAAATCACCATAACTCCAATGATGTCAAAAAACTTGATCTGACTGAATTAAATCATACACCCAAGTATAAGTGGTCAAATTGTAGTATTTCTTGATTTAAGTCCGTGGTAAAACACACAGGGAGCTAACTGTTGGTACTCACAATAGAAAACGATAAAATTGTCGTGTATGGAGTGTGCAATGGAATACTATTTATTTATGAAAATGCCACCTTACAACAATTAACTTCCATTTTTCTGGAAAGCTAACCGATAGGTTTGATGTATAACTGAACCATATCACAGTAACTGATTAGGTTAGCTGGAAGGTCTATATAACATACAATAATCAAATAAATCTAGTAAACTAGAAGATGAACCATGCAAAAGGTTTACTCTAGCTATTCAATTGGCAGGTTGATGATTCAATGATGATAGAGTTTTGGTTTATGCATTGAATCAAAAGCATTGGCTATGGAGAGATTTAACCCGTCTATAACCAATCTCCCGACTGTTACATAAAGCCCAACTGCATGAATCATCGTATCATGCTGGAGTACACAATAATTATAGATAAAATGGTATATAGCATTAAGCTCTGCTCGGTGTTCATAACCATGAGGATATTATAATAGTAACCATCCATCAATTAAGGGAGGTATAAACATTAACGCATAAACAAAACATCGATATTTTCATAACTTAAACAATATCATACATGCATTCACTCTTCATCGAAGAGTATAAACTGACTACTCATTCCTCATTACTATAGACGAGCAACAAGAATGAGAAGATCCCATTACAACCAAACACAAAATACAACAAAGTCCTTTCTCAAGGAATAACTGAAACAATACCACTCTTATTACCAACTAGGGTGTAAAAGTGGGAGAGGTTTAACCATTCAAGTAGAAAGGATAAATAGAAATGTAGAAGTAGAAGTAGAAAAAATTTTGGCTACGAAGTGATTAGGGCAAGGCTTCGCTTTTTCTTTCTTTCAATCATTTCTTCTCTCTTGCACTAGACTGAACTCCAGTGAATCTCCCTAAAAATAAGCTGACTATGGCTATTTATAGGCTCCGAACGAAGGGAGTAAGACGGCAGACACCCTGGACAGCCAATCACATCCTTCTATTAAATCACTGGACTAATAAAAGGAAAAAGGGCTTAAGGCAGTTTAGGGCACCGTCCGGACAGTGGGGATTCTTTGGCTTTCCCATGCTTGGTTGCCTCCTTGTTTGACTTGTTGAATCCTTAACTGCACTTGCCTCCCTTTCTTCATTCAGCCTCTGCTCTTTTATCCCCTAAAAATTTCGTAATTATTCTTGAAACCTTGCAAAATATACAAACTACACATAAGCCCTAATAATTTATAACTTAATCACTTTAACCTAATTTATGCACACAATTAACCCTAAACCCTAATTCATTTACACACTTTTTAGGATTAATCTGTAACACCTAATTACCATTTTACCATTTTTAAAAAAATTTTAATTTTTTCTGATTTTTACAAAGGACATGCAGATTTTAGTGGTTCAGGAGCTAAAAAACTTGGATAATCCAATCTAATGGAGTCTCTTGCTCTTTGGGGGATTGTTTATTACTTGAACTAGTGATACCAAAAATTTCAATTCAATATAATGAATTGTTGCTCAGCACCTACTTATCTGTTGTCTAATAGCCAAGTCGAGATAACCATACAAAATATTGCCAACACTCTTAAGATCAAGGTTAGAACATCCAAAGGTCAATGGGTTGACCACCTTCCAAGCGTGCTTTGGGCACACAAAACAACAGTCCGAACTACTATATAAGAAACTTCTTTCAACTTAGTTTCAAAACTCCCCTCACCCAGAGCTGAACTATTCAATCCCGAAGAGAATAATCAAACTCTCCTCATATTCTTCGAACTCCTTGATCAAAAAATGGAGGTATAGCAATGGATCTCAGCTTACCAAAACATAACAACCCAATATTACAACCAAAGGGTTAGAGGAAGGACTTTCAAAGCTGGAGATCTTGTTTTGAAGAAACTACTGCCTGCAAGGAAGGATCCCAGACATGGCAAGCTAGTCCCTAATTGGGAAGGACCCTACGAGGCTATCTCCCAATGGATGGGATTCCTTTGTGGGATTATTGGTCTGTTGGCGAGAGAGTGTTATTGAAACCCCTCCCACTCTGCTTGAGTTTGCCTATTACTACCACCACAAGTCTTCCCCAACTCCGAGCTTCCTTTACTTTGACAAGAGGGTGAAGTTCGAGGCGTTGATTTCTGACCTCCCGACTTTGCATAAGGGCTAGAAAGAGTTTCTTCTTCGTTTCGGGGGATACCTAGGAGCTGACAAGGGATGCCAATGACAATTCTCGAGTTCCTCGCCTCTAGGATGTTCCTCGTAACACTCATAAGTCTTATCTATATGGAATGTTGGTTGCCATTTTTCTTGATGCTTTTCTTCTCTACTTCTTGAATTTTTACCTTGACTTGAACTACTATCGCATGATATTGACCTCTTCTTACTACTTAGGAAATAATTCAAACTTCCAAAGTTGAAGCACACACTTTGAGATCCTTTAAGGAGCTCATAACAACCAAAACAAATTTCCAGATAGGGGTTTGGCCCCCTGTTAGGGAACTTCCTTCTGGTATGTCCCAAAATGCAAATTAGTAGTCTAGAACCATCCCATTACTTCTTTGTTCTCACCTTTTACTCTTCTTACTATTTGCAAGTTCTGTTGAGATGGCCCCAAACCTAGATCTGATTAAGAAGACCATTGAGGAGAGGAAATGGAAAATGCTATATAAGAAGGTGAACCTTTCCCCTTTTATAAGGTCAAAAATAGATCCTCCTCCACTTTTTAGGGCTGTTTTGGGCTTAACTACAGAGAACTTGGAAACTTCTGTGCAGGATCCTGTAGCTCAAGCTTCCCTTGAACAGGAGAAATTACCAAGAAGACTATAGACATCTCGGCCGGCCTTACTTTTCCTTCCTTTGGGATCACATGCCAATTTATTCTTCCCCTGTCATTCCTGAGATTTCCTTCCCAATGGTTACTGAGAAAGAGGGGAGCAGGACCAAATTAGATCCTTCTAAAGGAGTTGGAAATGGTACTCCCTTTCTTCACGAGCCCATTGTTGCCATGCAAACTTTCTTTAGTGTGGTTCCCAATGATGAGCTAAGTGGGTTAGTGACAACCCCCTTTAACTACAAAGTCACTCAGGTCGTTCATGGCCTCGTTGCGATATGACTTCTTCAATTCTCCTTTTCTTCCTTGTTCTTTCTTTTGGCTTAAAGTCTGTTAATTTGCTTATAGTCCACCTCCTATATCAAAGCCCTTAATGCCGAAGGGCAAGAACTATTCAAACATTGCAAAAATCAGGTTTTGGAATTGACCACCTGCAAAGAAAGTTTTGGAACCCTTCATCATGAGGTGGATGAGCTCTGAATTTCCAAAGAACTCCTTAAGAATGAGTCATCTTCCAAGGACTTCTAGATTTTTTATTTGACTAAGGCCACAAACCATGCTCTTTCTGAAGGGGTGAAAGCTATGACAGAAGTGAAGTGGTTGAAGGTCAACCATGAAAAGGCTTTGAAGGCTCAGCTCGACCTGAATAATGCTCTAAAGGCCAAGGATGATGAAATAAAGAAGCTTACATGGGAGCCCGCTAATAGCTTTATTGATGGTTTCAAAATTTTCAGGGTCAAGTCAAGAAACTATTGCTTGAGATGGAGTCCCTTTGGGTTTTAGCCAAAGATGAACACTTGGGACATCAGTACCCATCAATTTTAACTAATTTCCCATGGATTAAAGTACTAAGTCCATGGGGCCACCAGAAGCTCGAACTTAGTGACTCGATTCAGAGAAGGAAGTCATCATTGCTACAAGACTAATGCCTTCCAACAAGTGAAGAATGGCAGGGATAGATATCTGGATACTTTGACATAATAATTAAAAAAAAGCGCATGATCGATGAAAAGAAAAGGTTATATTTCATTATGAAAGAGAGTTAGCTCAATGGTAACAACAGTTTGGACCTCATCCTTCTCCTCAATAGAGACCTTAGTATCTTTTTCTTTCACTCTGACATCTGGAAAGACAGGCAGGAAGGAGTCATAATTCATCTGTTCATTCGTGCTTTGGAGCATGCTGGGACGAGGTGTTTATCCTTAGTTGAAAAACTTAGGATCCCGGGGAGCTCATCGATCTTAAGGAGCTCATCCTTGCTAAGAAGCGTGGAGGGCTGAGGTATTTCCAACCTGAGTCACTAAGTGCCAACTCTTGGTGGCCTCCTACACTTAGTGACCTAATTAACTCATTTTAAAATCCCTTCTAGCTTCCTAAGTAAGCCACCATTCACCGAAAGGTTTGAGAGGACATATCTCTAATAGTTATGGTTCCCTTGTGCAGCCTTATGATCATGGGATGCATCATGTCTCTTGATTCACACACCATTTCAATACCATGAAGCCATCATGTGTATTTAATGCTCGTTTAGCGCTTTAAATGTGTCATTAAAATTGAACCAGCAAAATGGAAAATCTATTTAAACTTTTCCCTCTAGTGGGTTTCTTTTGCCATTGCCATGGGATTTTCTTCATTTGGGAAAGTTTGAGTTCCTCCTCCTATTCACTATAGTTCTCAACTTTTTAGGTGAGAGTTCTTTAGTCACTATAGACATTAAGATTGGTTTAGGGCTTGCTAGGGCTTTTATGAGAGTGAAAAGTGCCTCCCTCAGGACCATAGACCCTAAGTTCTTTCCTTCATCCGAGTATAGTATGCTAACAAGGGAAAGGGTTTCTAATATCCGAGAACACTATAGGTTCCCATTTTTAGAAGCTCGATATAGTAACATTCTTCTCAATAAGGTTTGTTTCTTCGAGTATGCTTTCCAAGTTGGATTCAAATTTCCTATGCCATCCTTTGTTAGGTTGATCCTTCACTTCTTCAGCCTCTACCCTACCAGGCTAATAGTAGATGGTTGGGGTTTGTTAGTTGCTTTTTCCATTTTATGGCTTTATTTTGTGGCAGAGTCCTCCACTGCCATTCCCGATTTTCTTTCCATCTTCTGTCTGCTTCCTTCTTCCCTTCCTGTTTTTTATTACATTGCAAGTAAAGAGAGAGCCCTTGATCTGATATCCGAGCTCCCTTCACCTCTACATGGTTGGAGTCGCAAATTATTTTTTGTATTAGGGGATGCTTGGGAATTTTTCAATAACGTATCTTCTGTTGTTCGTATCCCATTCATGTCGGCGGATGAACCTAGGTGAGTTACTTTTGTTGGGCCTCCCTTCCTTTTTGTTCCTCCTCTAGAATTTCCCTAATTTTTCCCTTTCTATGGGGTGTTATATGAAAAGCCTCCTCTGACCGCCTCTAGGCTAGCATTGATTGCTCAAGCTAAGGCTTGTGTTGTTAGGTCTTTCTAGGATCTAGTCTTAGTTGTGGATGCTCTCGTACTTTATTAGGGTTTAGTCTCATGCTGGGGAGAGTATTTTCTAGTGATTTTAGTGTCTCCAGTCATTGATGTTGTTGTTATTGTTTTTTGAGCTTCTATTGCTTTCCTTCACAGGTGTTGAGAGTATGACTCATGATTGGGCTTTGGTTATAAGCACCCTAGAAGACCAACGATGAGCTAGGGAGGTGACTCCTATTAAAGCAGTTCATAAAAGGCCTAAGCTATCAACAGCGAGCACGATGTCCCTACTGCTAGCGTTGGTGGGTCCGAGGTGGCTATTGACTTGATATTAATCATACACCCAAGTATAAGTGCTCAAGTTGTAATATTACTCAATCAATTCTAAGTTTGAACCCATAGGGAGCTATCTATTGGAACTCAAAATAGAAAATGTAAGATTTTCGTGTACATATTGTGCATTACAGTAGCTTGTGGTGTGAGCTTAAAATTAATAAATAAATAGTTAAACTAAACTTTTTGATTATAACAATTAAGAAAGACTACTCTTTAGTTTAGGAATCTAATCTCCTGACAATTACATAAAGCCAACTACATACATCATTGTCTAATGCATAAAGTACGTAATAAATTATAGATGAACTGGTATATAGTAATAAGTTTAACTTGGTATTCGTAACCATGAGCATATAATTATATGATACCAAATGGAAATGAAAACCATCCATTATTTAAGGGAGGTATAGACATTAAAGCATAGGTAAAACATCAGCATTTACATAATACAAATAATATTACACATGTCTTCACCCTTTACTAAAAAGTATAAATGGACTACTAACACTTCATTGCTATAGACGTGCAAAAATGGTAAGATAATCCCATTACAAATATAACACAACTACAAAACTAACACAAGAAATCCTTCCTCGATGAATATTTGAAACACGCTCACTCTTATTACCAAATAAAGCAAAAAGGTGAGAGGTTCAACCATCCAAGTAAAAAGAATGTAAAAAAAATGTAGAAGAAGATAATTTTTTGCTTAGGAGTGGTGAGGGTAGGGTTTCTTCTACTCTAACTTTGGATTGCTCCCTCTGGAAAGCTCTCCCTCAAAATGACCTAACAAGCCTATTTATAGGCTCTAGGATATAATGCAAGGCGGCAGACACCCACAACACCCAATTAGGGTCTTTTGTCGTACAATTGGACCAATGGGAGAAGAGAAAGGGTTGAAGCAGTTTAGGCCACCATCTTGTGCCACCATCACCATCCAAACTAATGCAGGAGGATCCAAGTCAGATGATGCTGATTTATCAGATGGCACTTTGATGGCGCTGAGATACCTTGAGCAACACAGTCAGAAATCCAAGTCCAAGAAAGGTTGACGCTGTTTTGATCATAACTTTTAATCTATTTGGAGTTTCGGGACCCATAATATATCAAATTGAAGCTCTCGACGAGCCCTACAAGAATCATGGCCATGATTGAAATCGTTAAAAGCCCAAAAAAGCCTAGAAATGTGTGTTTGTGCCTTCTAAAGTTTTTTTCAGTTTTGGGTTTATTTTGATTTTTTCACAATTTACTTATTTCTTGCGTAATTAGGGTTTCCAACTTATTGTTTAGTATTTAAAGGTTGTTTTCGTGTGTTTTAGGAAACTCTCATTATTCTAATTTTATAAAGATTGTGGCTGCTTAGTCAGTTTTTTTAGGCTATTCTTTTGGGTTTTCCTCTGTGAATTATCTATAGAAACTAGCCTGCAGAATAATCGTTATTCTGTCCGACGTCAGTTGGTATTAGAGCTTTAGCATCTTCCAGGGGTGAGATATCATTAGTTCAATAGTTGATGGTCGTGGTTGTGGTCGTCGGGGGCAGGTTTCGAATGAGGAAGTCCTACACCTTGATCGTAGCCTTCAGGATGTGATGATTGAGGATTTGTATAGGCAAGTTGCAAAGTTAGCCCTACATCTAACGACGCAGGATTTTAGTGATCGTGAGATGGAAGATCACAATTTCGATTCCAGTTTCAAAAACCCACGTCACAATCATGCTCAATTCTGGGAGCATCGTGGTCAAGATAATTGTCCTGGAGACCTCAATTTTAGAGTGGATCTACCCAAATTTTTTGGTACGTTACATGCCAAGAGATTCATCGATTGGTTAAATGAAGTGGAGCGTATTTTTGATTATAAGGAAGTCCCAAATGAAGTTAAAGTGAAACTGGTCACTATCAAACTCAAAGGTAGAGCATCTGCCTGGTGAGAATAGTTGAGGCGATCATGAGAGGCAGGGCAAAGCCAAGATAACTGATTGGGAGAAGATGTAGAAGAAGATGAAGGGACACTTCCTTCCTTTTGGCAACACTCAAACCTTGTTTCAGCGAATTCATTCATTGAGGCAAGGCACAAGATCGTTTGATGATTACACAGAGGAGTTCTATCAATTGATAGCTCAAAATGATTTATCTGAGACAGAAGAGCATATGGTAGCATGATATTTGGGGGAATTACGGCAGCCCCTACAGGATGTCCACAGTCTCCACTCACTGTGGACCATTTTTGAAGCATACCAGCGTGCAATTGCTATGAAGAAACAACATAATAGAAAGCCAGTGATTAGAAGTGATCAAAGAAGTAGGCCAGGTAACCCTCAAGAATTCCATCCTACCCAGCAGCAATCGCAAGGTAATTGTAAGTCTAACATTAGATGTTTCAGATGTGGGGAATAGGGACATAGAGCAACTAAGTGCAAGAAGCCTGCCAGTCGGATGGGCAAAAATCTCCTGATTAAGGAAGATGTGGTAGACAAAATTGAGGAGGTTGGAGAGCCTGTGTATGACGATGAGGAAGGTGAAGATGTGCTGTATGGAGATGGCCATGAGACTATGGTCGATCGCACGAGTCTATTGACTCCTAAGGGCGATTTAGGGGACAATTGGTTGAGAACCAATATTTTCCATACGACCTGCACAGTTGCAAATAAAGTCTACAAGATTATCATTGACAATGGCAGTTGTGAGAATGTAGTGTCTGAAGAGGTTGTCAAAAAATTGCAGTTGAAGATAGATCTTCATCCTAAGCCATATAAATTGTTGTGGCTGAATAAAGGCAATGAGGTAATAGTAGATAGGCAATGCTTAGTGTCTTTTTCGATCAGTAGGAAATATTTTGATAACGCTTGGTGTGATGTTGTGGCTATGTATACTTGTCATATATTATTAGACAGACCTTGATAGTAAGATCGCAGTGTTATTCATGATGGGTGGAAAAATACATATTCTCTTATCATCAAAGGGAAGAAGATTGTGTTGGCACCTCGTTAGGAAGGAATCATTCC